AAATTGGACAGCTGGATGGTAAGGGGAGGATAGAACTTCTATGTTGTAGAGGAAGCATATAAACCTTTCTCCTTATATTTTGAGCGGTAGAATAAAAAAAAATTGTATACAAAGATACCATTTATTTTTAATACAAAGAGTTACAATCATTATTGTCCATCAAATTTCTAATTGGGTAGTTGTATGTTAATGATTAGACTCAAAATTCAATAAAATATTTCTTGAACTTTATGACAACTATCAAGTCATTCAATTTGACATTTAACGGTTAGGAGTAATTATAATCTTGTAACAAAGATAAATGGGTGTGGTTTATATAAGGTTGCAACGTTGAACAATTCAATTAAAACACACCTCCAAATTTTATTATAACATGTCATTTTGGTGTAAAAAATTATTAGGATTATAGTCTATTTTCAACCTAATTATAAATTTTTAAACTTCAAAAATAGTTAAAATCAAGTAGATCTATAAACATATGAAAGTCATAAAAATGGACGGTCTAGATAATGTGTTGTAAGATGAGTTATTCTAATACTCAAAATCTTTTTTGAAAAAAATTCATACATCTTGATGTCAAGATTATAAATTAGAGAGTGTTTCAATATTAAAGCAACATTTTCCTATAGAGTTTTGAGGTGCATCTTTAATTCTACATGTGGCAAACTTAATAAACTTTTTTCAAGTAAATGGTCCAAATATACAATCCCATAAAAAATAAAAAAATAAAAATAAAAATAAAAGGTGGATCACTGGAAACAAGGTGACCAAATCTACCCTGCTTAAAAAGTTGTGAATGCCACTATGAAGTTAGTAATTAATTTGCGAAGTTTATAATAATAAATTATTTGCATGATCCACGAAATTGGTTCGAGAAGTCGCGAGATGCCCATTGGTTTTAGGTCTTAGCTCGCTTACCCAAAGACAAAACAAGTGAATCAAATATGACACTCCGCAAGAGAATCAAATATTCAGGTCCTTAATAGGAATTGAGCCAAGGTCTTTCTCTCAACTTTTTTTTTTCTTTTTTTTTTTTAATGTTATCTTGAACAGGTACTTTAAACTTTATAGTTATTTTTTTGAAAAGAAAAGGTGATCGAAACTTGAGACGTCACAATGTGGCACACATCATTCTGACCACCTCTGCCTAGAGCTGTTCTATTTCTATCTCTAGGATACACAAACGGTCGAATTTGTCATGGCAAAGATATAGGGGAACTCTTATTAAACCAAAGTTTGGTATGGTGCATTTGCCTTAAACTTAATTGAGCCTATAATCAAGAAGTACTTATTGGATCTTGGGGTGGTGCATTGAAAGTTCAGACCTACGTTAAGGGCATGTTTGCTTTGTGTGGAAATATTTTTTGGGAAATATTTTCATATAAAATAATTTTTTAGTGTGTGAATATCTTCACACATTAATTGGTGTGAAAATATGCACTAGGATTAATTGGTATAAAAATATTTTCACACCTAACTACATGAGAGAATTCTTTCACATCAAAATATTTAATGAGAAATATTTTTACGTGAAACAAATGTACCTTAAGGTAAAGTGATTTTCGATTGTTAAGCATTGTCTTTCTTGGAAAATTTATTTATACGGCACTCATAAGCTTCAAAGGAATGACATCGGCTTGCTATGTATAGTTTTGAGGAGGTTGTACCCCTTTTTGAAAGCTTATTTGTACCGTATTCATGGGCTTGCTATGTTGAAAGTGACAATTTTATAAGATTAAATTTTTTAAAAAAAGCTGATTTAAATATGTTAGTATGTTTTCTTTAGAAAATAGTACGTTGTGTTTTAATATAATATTTGTAACTTAGTCTTTTCCAATTATTTCAATTAAAGAGAGAAAGGTTATGGGTTTTCGTCTTATAAAGAGTAAGTATATAAATGAAACTTATTTACTTTTGATACAAGGCAGTCACAATTAATCTTAATCGTTGGATGTGAAATTAAGTGGTTGTATTTATTCTATTGATTAGGCTCATGGTTCAAAATAAATTTCTCTAACATTGTTGCATACCCAAGCTATAAGATTTCACATCGGATGGTTACAAGTAATTTTGACTTTTTTGTACCAAAGATAAATGAAAAATAGTCTCATTGTATATATTCTCATATATTTTTCATAAAAATAGAGTAATGATCTTATAGGACCCTCCCCTACCCATCTGTGTAAGGCTCTAAAGGATTACCATTAAAGTTAGCACGAATCTCTAAAAAAGTTATCACATGGTGTGGGATTTGACTTTTTTATAGATCCATACGAAATTTAATGGTGATCCTTTCAGATCCTATACACATGGTTGGAGGAGGGTCCTATAGGATCATTACTCATAAAAATAATCTATAGATTCATATTCATGGAATAAAAAAAAAGCGTGGTTGCATGTGTGAAGCACGAGAAGTGTGTGCAAAGCCAGGTGAGGCATACTTTGCTAGTGTAGAGACATGTATGCTTTGTGGAATGTTTATGACCGTTGGATATTGACTGTTAGGCTTTTAGCGGTTAGTGACTTTTTACTTGAAAAGCCACCTTTACTCTAGTCCAATTTCCACAATGAAATATAAAATTTTTTTATTTGATTTTTTTTACCCTTACTTATTTTCTCTCGCTAAAATCTCCTACTTAATTTCTCACTCTCGAATTTGTACTTATTTTTTCTCTAAATTGAGGCAACTTTTATTCTATAAAGGCTCATCATTTTAGTTCATTAAATCGGCAAGATTATTCCTGATCTTCAGGCATCCCAATGACTAATTTGCTCAGTTCACTTATTTTTCAAACCTTTGTTTCATACACAATTTCTCAACAAGATAGAAGTGCTAGGAAGAAGCAATCCATGTTTTCTTTTGAAAGTGCTCAATTTTATTTCTCAACAAGATAGAAGTGCTAGGAAGAAGCAATCCATGTTTTCTTTTGAAAGTGCTCAATTTTAAAATAGATCTCACAAAATTTTAGAATGTCCAAGGTCTTTGGCCCAAAGGAGTAAATATATAATATGCTCATGTTCTGCATGCACTACTAATAAAATAAGCAAATTCACTCTATGCGCCTGTGAATGGTGGCATCACTTACGACACAAGACATCAGCGCATATTATCGATGGAAAATTAGCCGTGGAAATATATTGGTTTTCTTTTTTATTTCCACTGCATTTTGTTGGTAACTTTGGATGTCAATGATGTATTTCATGGGATTGTATAACTATTTATCTTTGGTACATGGAGATCACAATTGACTATAATCCATTATGTGAAATCTAATAGCTTAGATCTATCATAAAGTTTGAAATTTTCTTTTGAACTTTGAAGTAGGTCAATAGAATAGATACAACCATCCAATTTCACATCCTATAGTCAAGATTAGTTGTGACCACCTTGTACAAAATGTAAATGATCTCATTGTATACTTTTTTATATTATATATACCGGTGTAGGGAACTACGACTCGAGCACGAAACCCAGCTAGGGGTCGGGCCAAGTAACCTAGCCCAGGTGTATGTAACCTGATACAAGTCAGGTACGGGGGCGGGAGAAAGAGAGAGAGATAGATAGAAGGGCAAGGGGCCTATCAAAGAGAGATAGAAAACGGCATGGCATTGTCCCCTATCCTGCAGAGAGAGAGTACATAGAGAGATGAGGATGGGAGTAGGATAACCGTATCCGGAAAAGAAGAGAAGCCGGCATTTCTTTTACAAACACACGGAGCGTTCAGATTCCGCCACGTGGAGAAATGCGCCGGCCCTCGTACAAACCTTCAGTCAAGACCTTCCGGTTCCCCCCGACAAAAGACAAAATCCTTACTATTTTCACGAAAAACACCCTACACTTTCTTGAAACACTACTCACACCCTTTTTTTTTATTTTAAAATGGGCCAAAAAGATTGCATTAAAAAAGCACACTATAGTTTGGAGAATTTATTTAAGGGCGTGGTTGCAACTTTAAACAATCCAATTAAGACGCACCTTCAAATTTTATTACAACCCCTAATTTTGATGTAAAATATTCTTAAGATTATCTCATAATCTATTTTCATATCTAATTATAAAATTTTAAACTTCAAAATTTATTAAAATCAACTAGATCTAGAAACATATGAAAATCTTGAAAATGGACAGTCTAGATAATGTGTTGTAAGATGCATTATTTTTTAGACTCAAAATCCTTTTTTCTTTTCATAGTCATATATCTTGATGTCGAGATGATCAATTAAAGGTTTTTTCAACATTAAAACAACCTTTTCTTATGGATTTTTGAGGTGCATCTGTAGTTTTACATTTTAAGGTTGCAACCTTATATAAACTTTTTCCTTTATTAAATATTGGGGCTCACAAGAGTGAGATTGGGTTAATTTGGGCATCAAATTATTTATCCCTTTATGAAAAAAGTTTATATACGGTATCAACATTATACTATAAAAAGAAAAATGTGCCTCAAAATCTATCAAAGAAGATTGTTATGATCATCTCAAACTCTAAGCATGTTTATATGAAAAATAAAAAGACTTTGAGTACTAAAAATATAATATCTTACCCCGGTTTATAGATATACACAGTCTCTACTATTTTTATATAGATATATTTATATCTATATAAATATTTATAGATATACTCAGTCTCTACTATTTTTAAATTTTATAATAAAAGATTAAAATAATTCAAGCTATTATAAAAAAAAATGACACCTTATACAAACCGCACCTTCTATCTATCGCTAGGAGAGAATAAACAGCAATATAAATTTTGAATTTATTTATGCACTCTTTTATCGTTTACTTTTCTGAAAAAAGATTGTTTACAAATGGACCATCTATCTTCTGCACATGGAGGTCACAATCATTCACATTCATTAGATATAAAATAAGATGACTTTATATGAGTTACGAAGTCCGAAACTTTTTTCTTTTGGAATTGTGTCTATTTAATGGTATTCTTACAATTATCCATTTTGAAATTTAAAGGATAATAATGATTGAAATGTCCATATACAAAAGATAAATGGTCTCTTTGTAAATAATCCCCTTCCGAAAAAAGCTATAAAAGAAAGGTTAGGTATGAAATTTGTACATTATCTATCTCCTATTCCATCCTCGGTCTCTATTTTCAAGCTCAATTTCTCTTTCTCCAACTCGAATTAATTCATAGATTGTCTCATTAAAAAAAGTCAAATTTATTTCTAACCCTACGAACTTCAAAATTATTTCCCTCAAAAGTTACATGGCATGTATTATTTATATAACTAAATGAAAATTATGATAAAATAAGATCAAAAAAGACTTCTTTCATGAAATTTAAAAAATATTTTTACCCATTTTGATATCTTAGTTTAAAGTAGAATTGATTTTTTAAGAAAATAAAGATCCCTTTTATCTTTAAGATGGATTTCTGATGGCACATACGTAGAGGATTTGAATAAGGGCATGCGAACCAAACTTGCCCCTTCATAAAATAATATTCATTATTTAAGTTTTTCAAAACTTTATAGCAAATAAGATTTTTAAATGAGAAAATCCTTTTTAAAAAAAAAAACTACAAATTCAATTGGCTTTCATCACACACATTGTAGAAAATTTTGTTGTTTAAAAATTAGAAATTTCAATAAAATAAAAATTAGCGCTTGCACCTGTTGTTATCTAATTATCTACATTAATTTGTAAAATGTTTATTTGTTACTAAGAAATAAAGAATGGAGGGTTTATAACATGGAAAAGTCTATATAGCATTGACACCATAAGGTGCACCTCAAAAGTCCCCAAAAAAAAGGTTGTTATGATGTTGGAAAAATATCTAAGTGATTCTCGACATCGAGAGGTATGGCTATGGAGCAAAAGAAAGATTTCAAGTTTTAAAAAGAGTACATCTTACAACATATTATCTAGAGTATCAACTTTTTAATATTTTCTTATGTGTTTATATATCCTTGATTTGAACCAGTTTAAAATTTTATAAATTAGAAATGAAAATAGATTCTCGTGTCATCCTAAGAATTTTACATGTTATGGCAAAATTTGGAGGTAGGTATGTAAGGTTGCAACCTTATGCAAACCACACCTATTGTATAAGTTAATAGAGGTAGAATTCATCTCGACCATCCATTGTTGCCAACAGACGTCGAATACTAGATCAACTGAACTATTGAAGTATTTCATACTGTTATGCTAACTCTCTCTAACGAAGATTGATTCATAAAGAAAACATGAATGGTTATATAAGGTGTCAACATTAAACAGTCAAATAAAGGTGAACCCACAAACTATGTCGAAAGATGCAGTATAGGTGCCGAAAAGCCCTATGAAAGTCACAAAATCTATTTTCATCCTTGATAATAAATTTAAAACTTAAAAAATGGTTGTCGTACGAGCATAAGTATAACCACTTAAAAATTAAAAAAATAGACAGTCCAGATAATACGTTATGAGATGACCTATTTTCATGAACTAAAATTCGTTTTCTTTTTCAAAACTATACGGCCAAAATAATCAATTGGACTATTTTTTTTTGCAAGATTTTTTAGATTCACTTTAATTCTATAGTATAGTTCACACCTTCTACAAACTTCTTTACGAAGAAAATATAGAAGGCCTTCATTGTCAAAAATAAATAAATAAATAAGCCCAAAAAAGGCTTATTCTAAAATGTGGACATTTTAATAAGGATGTGGTTTATATAAGGTTGCAACCTTAGGCAATAAAAAAAAAATTAAAGCGCACCTCCAAATTTTATCACAACATTGGATTGTTTGAAAATCTATTTTTATCTCTAATTATAAAACTTTAAACTCCAAAAATGGTTAAAATCAAGAAGATCTATTAACACATGAAAATTGATGGATATGTTGCAAGATGCATTATTTTCAGAACCTAAAATATTTTTTTTATATTTATATATCTTGATGTGGATATGATCAATTAGAAAGTTTTCCGCAATAAAACAATATTTTTGGATGGATTTTACAATTTAAAGTTGTAACCTTTATCTATAGCCATTTTAATAATGTTGGGACGTGTTAAGCGATTAAGAGAAAGGTAGGGGCTCTAACTTCTAAATGGTCAAACGCAACCCGTATTATAAAATCCAAGGCCTTCCCGTCTCCCCCTTGTTTCTGTTGCAGAGGTTCCCCGGATACGTACAGAGAGACAAAAGTACATTTGTTAGAGAGCGAAAGAGAAAAGGGATAAGTAGTTACATTTTAGAGAGAGAGAGAGAGAGAGAGAGGGGGTAAAGTGAAGGAGAGAGGAAATAAGCAGAGTTAGAGAGGGTGAAGGAGCTCTGAGTAAGCAGCAATGGCGACTCTGACCAAGTTCAAAATCCTGGCCACACAGTGTGCCATAGCAGCCAGCCCTTCGAGAAGCCCTAACCCCACCATAGCCCCTTCCAAAAAGACTCTCAGAAAGCTAATCAAGGAGAAGTGCAAATCCAGCAACGGCCGATTACTGCGCCGAGGATCTCGACCGAGATCGCCGAGTATTTCAGACAGTATGCCCCAGAACGATTCGAGTCGTCAGAAACACGGCGAGAACGCGGCGATTCTAAGCCGCAAGCTGAAAGACCTCTTCGTCTCCTCGCCTCCCATCTGCGAGCGAAAGACTGAGGAGAGAGCCAGCGAGTTGGCCCTCAATCAGGGATCGTTTTCATCGCCAATATTTCAATTGCCGATTAATCAAGCAGCGATGGGAAGGGGATCTGCTCCGCGAGGCCTGCCGAGGATCGGCTCCGCAACGCGGCTTCGGTTGCTGAGAAGAGCGTGGCGGCCTGTCTTAGTTTCAATTCCTGAGTAGAGAGAGAAAGGAGTGATGCTTTTCCCCTCTCTCGCTCTGTATTTGTTTTTTTCTTTCCACGAGATAAATCAATTCACAAGTTTAACTGCGGCATTTGAGCATTTGAGAGAGCGAGAGAAGCATTTGAACAAAGAGAGAGAGCCATTTGCTACAGGAAGAGAAAATGGAGATGTTGAAAGCATTAGAATTATAGAGACAATGAAAGTGATTGAGGGAGAGAGAAAGACATTGAAGTAGAGCAAAGCAAAAGCAACGCAATAGAGTTAGGAGAGAGCCATTGAAAAAGATGGGTAGATAGATACTGAAGAACAGAGCAATCAAAAGCCCCAAGAGGAAGGAGGAAGGTACAAGATGGAGTCGTGCTTTTTAGTGATTGTTTGTGTGAATAAAGAAAAAACATCGAAACTTAGGATTTATGGCTGAATAGAGAGTTAGAGTTTTGGAAATTTTTTGGATTTGGTGGAGTGTTGTCAAATTCGCTTCCTTTGGACCCATAGAGATCGAAGTCTTCCTATTTTAGGCTTAGACTGATGCGAACCGAAGCCTAGTGTGTCTCGTCAGTTTCACGATTTTCCGATTGGCTTCGCCCGGCTTAAGCCTCGGTTGTCTTTGGGCAATAGGAAATTAACGTTTACCTAAAAGTATTTTTTTTTTATTTTTTAAATTTTTATTTTAAACTTTTTTTCATTACTTTTATATATAAATCATTAATGTATTTATATTAAACTAAAAAATTCAAAATCTTCTAAAGAATTAGCCATAGCACTAAATTGATTCGGTTTTCTCAACAAGCTAAAAGAAACTTGGAAGCAAATATACTTGCCCAAAAAGCAAACTATAAAGCAAATATGACAACATCGATTGATTTGGGTTGGGTCTGGGGACCCTCAAAACACAAATTTGGATTCGGATGAATTTTTAGGTCTATGGGGAATCCAAAAATAAGATTTAATTGCAATTTCAAGTCTCGAGTTTTCGACCCAATACCCAGTTAGCTATATTCAAATTTTAGGCTTGGTTTTGAAGATGGCGCCAATTTAATGCAAAGGCATTATTGTTTGCATGAGGACGAGATGATTGGGGCTGCATATATAGAGAGAGAGAGAGAGAGAGTTAGGTATGCATTTTCAAAGGGGGCTTGAGAGAGAGAGAATAAGAGTATGGTTATACGAGGATTGTACTTATTGGTGGTACGAACTGTTAATTGTTGTCTTGGTATGTATCGTTTAAGATAAAAATTAAATTTCTTTGAAAATCTGTTAAAACTTATTGTTGGACCCGATCAAATCAATTAGTTTTAATTAATTTGATTAGCTTTTTTTTTTTTCTAAAATCAAATCAAATTAATTGAATTATAGATTTGATTTATTTTGATTGAACTAAACCCCTCGTCAATTTAACAACCAATCCAATTTGATAATTGCAAAGAGAGAGGATTGAATTTGCCTTTTTCATTTGCACCATGACATCTCTCTTTTCTCCAACACTATGTGGCCGTACCTCTCCTCTATACTTGAGAGAGAGAGGGAGAAAGAGAGAGAATTGGGCCTTTAGTGCTTTTCTTTTGCAATGGGAACATGGGCTTGCTGCTTTCTCCAAACTTCTTTCTCTCTCTTTCAATTGCTTGAAGTTATTCTCCTCTAGTGAGAGAAAGTAAGAATTTTTTTCTTACTACCATTAACGACAACCTACAAGTTATGGGTCTGCTTTCTCTTTTGTAATATTCCCATTTTTCTCGCTCAATATGAGGCATCCGTCATCATTTATTCCCTCGAATTTTTGTAGAGAGAGCGAGAGGTGCTTTGATCTTTCTTGGTTAGTCTAAAGTAGCATTATTTGTTTCCTATTTGTGAGATGGGCAATTCTCTCTTTTGTCTCTTGCACTCTTTCGATCTCTCTATTAATAACCAAACAATTCTATTTCACCACTCTTTTAAGTAATGAAAGAGTACATAAGAGATCATAGAAAAAAGTTTATATAAGGTTGCAACCTTATACTGTTGATGTTAGGTGCACCTCAAAAATCCTACATTGAAGAGTGCTCCGGCATAGTAGAACCCTCCACCTGAGCATCTCGACCTTGATATGAATGGACATAAAGAAAAAAAAGAATTCTAATGCCAAAAAATAGTACAGCTTGCAACAAGTTATTTGGACCGTCTATTTTCAAGATTTTCAAGTGTTTCTTAATCGACTCGATCGATACTATTTTTGAAATTTTAAATTTTACAATTGAGGATAAAAATAAATTTTGAAGTCATCATAAGGTTTTCGATTATGAAACGACAACTCTAAATAAATTTTATAGGTGCATCTTACTTCTACAAGATAAGGAGGCAACGTTATACAAACCTCACCCTTATTTTAAATACACAATCAATATTGTCCATTAGATTCCAAATCAGGTGATTGTGATTGTCATTTACTAGATCTAAAGTTCAAAAACAATTTCTCGAACTTTGTGACTCATCCCAAACTATCCAATTTGACATCTAATGCTAATAACAGTTGTGACCTTCTTGTAACAAAGATAAATAGTTTTATAGTATACTATCCTGTGCCCCTTTACTCCCTTCCGAAATTGCTCTTTCGATGCTTCTATATAATATTATCAAACATAGAAGTGAAACATTTAACTCCCACTTATTAAACACGCCCTAAAGGAGACACTTGAAAACCCCAATATCTCCGCAAAATCTATTCATGACTTGAAGTTCAAAATGAACTGGTAATTTCTCCACCGTTTTCCAATCTCGCACATTGAAGGGGGGTGAAATATTCTCTCTTTCTATTCTTGACCTGCAATTATTTGTAGGAACTAGGAAGTTTCATTGTCTGGGGCAATAGTTCATTGGGGCCATTTTTCTCTTTTAATTGAACATAAGATTGATTTCACTACAATGTTTGAGAAATCGCCAACGTAATTCCGAATCGGTCAGAGTCAGAATAGGATAACAAGATGGGTAGTTCCAGGTCAAGGAACCCTTGAATTACTCTGTATCGTTCTGATTTTCTTCTCTCTTATTTATTATCTTTGCGCCTTGAATTGGGTAATCTGTATCAGGATTGACAATCCGACTAGGATTTTCAAAGGATAGAGTCTGGCCATGGTTCCTGTTTCAAAACACTCGTTTCAGAGTTTGCAAACAAAAGAGAGAGAGAGAGAGAGAGATAGATGATATTAAACATGACCACAAAATATGGGTATCTGTGTTTTTTTACTCACCTCTGGTACTGAATGATGTCCCTGAAAATGTTTTTAACATTTGAAAAACTTGTGTTTTTAATCTGTTATGGGCGCTTAGACTACATTCTTATTTGAAAACATCTTCCATATTCTTGAAAACATCTTACATGAATGCCGTGTAGATACTCCAGCAATGACAAAAAAGAACACTATATATAATGTCAGCTCACTAGTAAGAGGATACAAAATTCGGGGAAAATCATTCATCGCCAGCCCTAGCATTACAAAACATCAAGAGCTTGTGAATTTACGCCCTGTAAGCTTCTCAGATTCATAAAGAATGTGATTGATAAGGCCCCTCGCTGCACTGCACAGACAAGCCACACACCCATCAGACTGCAAATCAATCTCTCTCTCTCTCTC